CTCTTTGGAATGGGCACAAATATGGATCTCTTCCAATCAGTTGGCCAGATAGTTGTCTTCCAAATTTCTTGGCAGAGATGAGTGAGTGCCTCCAGTGCCACCTCACTGTCTTGAAAGATTTCAAATTCACCATAGACAGAGATAATCATGGAGTAATTTTTAACCCATGTTTCATTGCTAGTTGTTGTTAGGTGTTGTTAAGTCAGTTCCAACTCATAATGACCCTATGAACAGCAAAACGAAACACTGCCTGGTCCTGTGCCATCCTCACAAAAGTTAAGTTTGAGCCCATTGCTGCTGCCCTTGTGCCAATCCATCTCGTTGGGGTCTTCCTTTTTTTCGTTGCTCCTCCAGTTTCCCAAGCATAATGTCAGGAACTGGTCTCTCCTGACAGCACGTCCAAAGTATAAGAGAAGTTGTCTTGCCATCCTGGCTTCCAAAGAGCACTCTGGCTATACTTCTTCCAACATAGATTTGACTGTCCTTCCAGCAGTCCAAGGTATTTTTAACATTCTTCTCCAACACAATAACTCAAATGCACAATTCTTCTAGTCTTCCTTATTCATTGTCCAACTTTTATATGGATATGTTGTTGTTAATTGCCTTTGAGTTGGTTCCTACTCATAGTGACCCTGTAAGGGTTTTCCAAGGAGCTGCTGGTGGGTTTGAACCACGGATCTTGTGCTCAAACTGACCCTGAGGTCCAGTGCATTATCCTGCAGCACCACACATGCATATGAGGCTAGTGGAAATGCTATGGATTGGGTCAGATGCACTTAGTTCTCAAACTGACATCTTTGCTCCTGAACACTTTAAAGAGGTCTTGTGCAGCAGATCTGCCTAATCAATACATCAATTGATTTCTTGATAGCTGCTTCCATGAGTGTTGATAATGGAACCAAGCAAAATAAGTTATTTGACAACTTCAATCTTTTCTCCATTTATCAAGATGTCATTTTTCAGTCCAGTGAGGACTTTGTTTTCTTTATATAGAGGTGCGATCCATTCCGAAGGCTATGGTCTGTGACCTTCACTTTTCTGAAATTGTTTTGTTGTTAATTGAGTGAAGGTTTATCAAGCAGATCACTGATTCCACATTCAATAAATCATGCACTGCATTTCCTCTTAAAATGATTGTAATTCTCTCAGTGTAAATCACATATCCCACTTCCTCTCTGCGTTTCTTGTTTCTATTCCTCCTTCTTTCCCAGTCCTTCAGAATTTTGTCCTTAGGTAAATGCTTTCCTTCTGATTTTGAATGGCTGACCACTCTATGGTGTGAATACCTCACTAGTGTTATTGTTCCCCACCAGCCGCTCCTTGGAAACCCTATACAGGGTTGCTATGATTTGGAACTGACTCTATGGCACTTAACAACAACAACAACATACCTATCTGAAGTCCTGGTGTGGCACTGTAGGATAACCACTAGACGGCAAGTCAGTGGTTCAAACCCACCAGCCGCTGTTCAGAAACCCAATATAGGGTCGCTATGAATTGGAATTGACCACAGATATGACAGCACTTAATGACAACAATATACCTATGAATTGCTTGGATGAAAATTAAGCCACAGGGTAAATTTAGTTCTAGATCTGAAGGGTGAACAAGGGACATAGTCTTGGGGTTCCACTAGTCTCTGACCAGTAAAGTACTCTTTTTTGTTTTTTACAATTTTGAGTTTTGTTCGACATTTTCTCCCACTGTATCCAGGACCTTCTAATGTGAACCCTTTTAGAGCAGTTGGTAGTGGTAACTGGGCACCATTTAGTTCTTCTGGTCTCAGGGACTTGGAGACTGATCGTCTCGTTTTCTTAAAACAAAAACAGTTTTCCTTTTGTAAAGCTAAATTTTAAATAAATTTATTCTAAGGCAGCTTCATGATTTTAAACATTGCTGAACTTGAGTGTCTATGAAATGGGTTACTTGTAAAAAAGAAAAAAAAAAAAGTTCTAATTACAGTGAGTCCAGAAAAGTATCTGCATATTCTTCTTCTTTTACTTAATTTAGTCAAGTGAGATGCAATTTATAGGTATAAGAATTAAGATTTGTTTTATT